CCCTCACAATGGCAACCTTCTATGGCTCAACCCAGCGATTTTGGTCTCAGCGGAGGCCATCCCGTGCACGAGGCTTGGTGGCTTATTCTTCTTTTTTTTCCCCCGAGCGCCATCAGTACCACTTACCCCATCCTTCTCTGTTCTGGAACCCCTCTTGAGCTCGCATTAAAGGCACAAATAATTCATAAGCATTAGCAAGTCAGCGGGGAGCCCTGCCGCTCAGTCAATGACCAGATTTCCTGAGTCTTGATGCAGTGACTGATGATGGGCTGTGGTGTTTTTTTTTTTTTTTTCCAGGAAACTCTTCCCGCTAATGCCCTCAACCAATTGCTGCTATGCATTGTTGGGCACTGGACCTTACGCACAAACGGTGTCTTCCTGGGGCTGCTGCTAACTTTGCTTGCTGTTCACAGTGTTCTCCTCCGTCAGTCTGGTCTCTAACTAATGGTGAACATTTAGCCTGCTGAGTATCTATCTCTTCTGTCATGAAATCACCTCCCTGGTTTGTTGTTGGTAGTAGTGGGAGGGGCTAGTGGTTGGATTTCTGGGTCAACACCATTAAAACAAAGAACAATTTAGCGCTTAATTGCAAAAGGGCTGCTGGGGGCAGGGTGCTTTGCTCCAGCAAACAGCAGCAGGACTGTTTACTCTACATCCCATCACAGCCTTGAGTCTTTTAATTTTTTTTAAAAATTAATTTAAATTAGAAACAAGTTTGCTTCACATGTCAGTCCCAGTTCCCTCTCCCCATCTCCTTCCCACCTCCCTTCAACCCTCCCCCAACAGACTTGAGTCTTGAGGGGGTCTGTGGACAATGTGTCTCCACTGAGTCATGACCCTGTCCCCACCTCCCACCCCCAAATGACTGTCCAGGGACATCATCTATCTATACGAATCCCTTTGGGCCTGGCCTCATTCTCTGGGGGGGTTCAGAAGAGTCCTGTTTACTACTGGGCATCATTTGCTTTAGAGCTAGCTGTGAAGATTACATGCCCATCCCAAAGTTCCATTCACAAAAGAAGGGGCAACGGAGACTATAAGGTCACCTGTCATTGGGGCTAATAACATCATGTCAGTCCATCTGCACTAGATTAAAAGGCTGGGCTTGAATATTTTGGCCCCAAGAACGAAACAGTAACAGGAGACCAGGATGTTAAAAGTAATCTACAACCTAAAGAAATACATCAAACTGGGGGGGGGGGGGGAGGCACACAAAAGGCAGAATAAGGTGACAGTCTCCTCTACACACTAATCAAAAGCTAGCTCCTTTACACAAGGTAACAGACCATAAAACCTGACACCCCGCTATGAGGTCAATGGGCTGGCCTTCAAATCCTCCCCAGGCATGTCACCAACTGAGAACCCACCCTGTCCCCAGCTGTGAATCCCATCCCTGTAATTGTTTTCAGTGAAACTGAGATAAAAAAAAAAAGGAAAAAAATACCTACTGTAAGGATTGAAGAAAGAATTCATGGAAAACACTGGCCACATCTGAACTTCATCACAGCAGTGTAGATAAACACAAGAGAAAAATTAATTGATTTTTTGTGTGTTATTTACTTGGGGGAGGATTTTTGAGACAGGGACTCTCTATAGAGCCCTCGGCTGCCCTGGAACTTGCTTTGTAGACCAGGCTGGCCTCAAACTCACAGAGATCCGATGGCCTCTGCCTCCTGAGTGCTGGGATTAAAGGCCTGCACCACCAATCCTGGCTTCAAAATTCTATTATTGGCATTCTTGGTGAGTGTGTCCGTGCCCCCTTTTCACAATTTATTGCTGTCAATATTTTCATTTGTTGTGTCCCTGTTGTAGCATTCTGATAGAGATAGTTTAAGCTATGACTTCTTTAAATTTATTTTGTATGTACGTACGTGGAGATCAGAGGATAACTCACTTGTAGGAGTCAGTCTTCCGCCACGAAGGGCTTGGGGATTGACTGATCTCAGGTCAGCTTGTCTGCAAGTGCCCTTTCCCACTGACTTATATCAAGGACCCAGGGAGATCTAGTTGTAATAATTTCTTCAGTGAATATATCTGAACACAACCAATCATTACCCTCCCTTTAGCATCTGCTTTGTTTACAGTTGGGGAGGGTTTTTTTTTATTTCTTCTATTATGTTCCTGGCTCTGTTATGGTGACTTGAAATACACATTTAAAAAAAAATCTTGCCTGTTGGTAGTGGCTCACACCTTTAATTCCAGCACCTGGGAGGCAGAGGCAGGCAGAAGATCGAGGCCAGCCTGGTCTACAGAGTGAGTTCCAGGACAGCCAAGGAAGGCTACACAGAGAAAGCCTGTCTCAAACAAAACGAAAGTTAATAATAATCTTCAGGGCTTTAAGGTTCACAGCTATTTTCTAGCTCAAATCTGAGGCCATTGCTTAAGCAATGATGAGCAGAGAAAAGGTAATGGTTTTACTCCAGCAACTTTAAACCGAACAGCGCTAAGATTCCCATGCCTCACTTTAGCAGTCCGTGTCACAAGAGGATGACAGACATAATTGAGATAGGCACTTCAGAAATGAATCTTGGGCCGGGCGGTGGTGGCGCACACCTTTAATCCCAGCACTCGGGAGGCAGAGCCAGGTGGATCTCTGTGAGTTCGAGGCCGGGCTGGACCGACAGCCTCCAAAACAATACAGAGAAACCCTGTCTCATAAAAAACCAAAAAGGAAAAAAAGAAAGAAAAAAGAAATGAATCTTGGGGCAAGGCTTCTAGTGGTAGAGATTCGAACTTACGGTGTGCAAAGCCCTGGATTCAAGCCTCAGCAAGGGGAAGAATATTTAAAGTGGACTGAATAAATTCACGTTCTTCCCCCCCCCCCCCCCATCCCCACACGCCCCCAGATCCAAGCGTAGGCATTTGTATTATTTAGGGCACAGAGAGCGCAAGGCTCTGGTAGCAGATCACACAGCAGCTGGTGGAGGACAGAGTGTGCAGTCAGCTGACTCTGAATGGTCTTCCCACCATGCTTGGGGGAGGAGGGTTACCCAGCACTCCTGCCGGAAAGCAAAACGCTGAGCCAGGTGGGACTCAGTGGGCAGCCTCACCAACCCTTCCAGGAGGCTTTTCCTTCCGGACGCTGGGCTCCCCAGGCTCCGAGCATGCCCAGTGCTCTCCCTGCCGGTCCGAACGGTACTGCCACAGCGCCGTGGCTCCAGGTTTTGCCTACGATCCTAGGCGGGGCCGGGGCAGTGCAGCCCCCCGGGACTCCCGGCTCCGTCGGAATTCCCGGGACGCGGCGCACTACCTCGGGGACCCGGACCGGGATCTAAGCCATGCATGGTCGAGGGCCTCATGGCGCCTTGGGGACAAAAGGTTCTCGGGACACCCACGTCCGACTATAGGGTCCTAACCCATCTCTGCATCCTTCTGTTAACAGCTCCATTCAACAAATACGTCTTTAGTTCGTGCCAAGAGTTGTTTGGAGGCGAGGTCTATCGAGAGGCGGGGCTACCGAACTGGCGCTGAAGGGAGGTGCGCCTTATGGGGGGGATCCAAGTCCAGAGAGACAACCGGTCACCGACCCCATCCGCCCCTTTGCCCCTCTTTCCCGTGCCAAGGGCGCAAGACCTGCGCTCCTTTTTTTGACACTGGCTTTTCCGTCCCAGGAAAGCTTCCTCGTGTAGCTGCGTGACTGAATGGTATCTGTCACCTGATCCGGCTGTTCCGCCAGCTCTCACCCGGCCACCCCTCAGCCTTCTTCCCCAGCTCCCACCCCACCCCCCGCGCCCCGGTTCTTAAGAATTTACCATCTCATACAGGGCGTTGTTTGTGGACCTGTTTGTTGCGAGAGGGGCTCCCTTCCAAACTCCCAGCAAGCGGGCAGAGATTTTTGTCTTATTTATTAAGTGTGAAGAACGTAAGTAAATTGTTGAACGGATACGCGATACAGGCTTGGAAGGTGATAACGGGCGTGGAGAGGCGCCAGGAGGTCAGGGCTAGTTGAGAGAGGTAAGCCAGAGAGGCTTCTCCTACGGAAGTTACCTGCGCGGTGAGAGGGCGCCGGGCTCCAGCTAAGTTGGGGGAAAAAGACGACCCACCCCGAGGGAAAGGAAGGCAGTGCAAACGCCCCGAGGCGAGTCAAGTTCAGAGGGTGTGAAGAAGAGGAAGGCGCGCGCAGAGCGCAGGAAGGCAGGTGTGGGAGGAGGCGGAAGAGGCAGGCAGGAACGCCCGCCAGCGAGGGGCCCTGCAGGCCCGGGGACGGGTTAACCCGCTCGGCGTCCTAGGACCAGCCAAGGAGCACTCGCGCTGGAGTCAGCGCGACCCCCCAGCTCGGCCATGGAGCCCCGTGCAAGCTCGCTGTCATTTCACAGATTCCCTGAGCGCCAAGCCCCTGCCATTCCTAGGCATGCACACATGGAAAGCCAGGCACACAGTAGGTGTTCAGTAAATGCTGAAGGTATGAATGGCAGCGCGCGTGAGCCCGGGGTCTAGGAGGTCCGCGCGAGGACGGCAGGTGGCCTGCGGAGGCGCCTGGCAGCGTTCCCCCAAGCCTGCCCTGGGCCCGCCCCTGTCCCGGGTACCCCCGCCCCGCGCGCGCGGGCCCGTCGCGGCCACAGCCGGGCCGGCGGGAGCCGCCCGCGGGCTGCACTGGGCATGCTCAGACGGCGGCCAGGTCGCGGCGCGAGCGAGCTTCCGCGCCGCCCGTCCGCGCGACCTACCTGGGCGCCCCGCGCGCCCCGGATGCTGCAGGTATGGGCGGTTGGGACCTCCGCGGGGCGGTCCGGGGCGCGGGCTGCGGCGATCGGGGACACGCGGGGCGCCACCCCACCCCCACCGGGCCCCGGGGCGCGGCGGACAAGCCGGAGGACTAGCAGGAGGGCTGGCAGCCCCGGGTCCCCCGCGCCACGTCGGGCATCGGGGTAGGGTGGGGTGGGGGTGCGCGCAGGCCCGGATCACCTGGCGGGGCTGGGGCGGGGCGCGAGCGGGGGCGGCGCAGGGCTGGGCGTTCAGGACACGGCGGCGCGGGCGTGGGCGTGCGCTCCAGTCTGGCTGAGCCCTGGGCCCGGCGCCGCGGTGTAGTCAGCCTAGCCGAGGGGGCGCCCGGCCGCGGGGACCCAGCCCCCCGAGTTTCACCCCCCAGGTTGTGGGGGGAGCGCAGATTCGCCTCCCCATTGGCACAGATGGCATTTCCCGGGCCTGGCACGAACTCCAGAGCCAAACGGATCCGCCCCGTTCCGCGGGCGACCGGGTGGCTGCTCTGTTAAACTTGCGGTGACATTGCATTGCTGCGTTGTGCGGAGAGAGAACCGGAAGCCCTCGCCCCGGTTGCTGCCACCTAAACTTATTACGAACTTGAGGGCTGCCTTTGAAAGAATTCATGGGAAGTTACGACAAGTTGGCACCTGGGTGTTCCATGAAGGTGCAGGGAGCTTGTGGTTAGGAAACGCGAGACCTGGGTTCAAGTTGGACTCTTTACCTTGGCCAGCTGGTGACCTTGGACGAATCGTTTAACCTCCCTGACCCGCCATTTCCTCCCTTGCACGCAGGCAGTCATAATGCCCACCTCGCCTGGTTGGTGGTGGTGGATTAAGTAGGATAAATGATGTGGAGGTGTTTGGCTCTGTGCCCGGCACAAAGCAAGCGAGCAGTTGGCGTGATGTGATTTTAATTCAGTTAGAGACCCTCGTGGCTCCCATTTCGTCAGGAAATTAGAATTAGGCAAGCATCTTCGGAGCCTGTGTCTGTGCCCCGGAGAGAACGTCTGCTGAGGCTTTGGAAAAGCAACTCAACAGAGCGGCGGGGAGCAGAGAGCCTCTCGGTTAAAGGCAGTCCGGAGTTGAGAAACTCCAGAAGTTGACACTCGGGCCCCACTTACAGAAAGAACTGTTTCTGCAAGACGACCCGCCTTGCAAATGTGGAAACGGACCGAATTGGAAAGCCTGTCTGGGAAGATGCCGGTGCTGCAGAGCTCCCATGCCTAACCTTAAGTACTTGGATCAGGGTTTGTCGGCTTCTCACAGCGGGTTTGTGCCTTCTTTGTGGTGGGTGCCCCTTGCATATTATAGGGCGCACACCAGCCTCCCTGGTCTTTGCTCAGTCGGTTCTTGCCGCGGCCCTCTCCCTGTGCCAGCCAGCAGTGCCACTGTGTATTGTCTGGGTTGACATGTTCCCCCCCTTTTAGTAGGATCAGTTGTGATAACCTCTGCTTTTTGTCTAGCCTAGGCTATCTGAGGACTCCGCCTGGGACTTTTTATGATAATAGCGAACCTTTGCAGTTAGTTACCTCGTACGTAGAGTTGTGCGGTGTGTATGGACATCTCGTTTCGGTTTTACAGCTCTCCCTCGGAGGGTGGTGTTACTCCCATTTTATAGAGGAGGAGACTGAGGCTCTGAGCCGACACCTGTAAGTGTCCTGGTCATGACTGGGATGGAGGAACCCAAGGCTTCTGGTTCTGGGGACAGGCAGGGCTTTTTCTTCTGGATAAGACTGCCATGCATGGCCAGATCTCACTTGGATGTCTTTCCTGACGATTAAATCAGGACCTAGACTGTATTGGAAACCGCAGGCCTTCCTGAGATTGACTAGTTGAAAATTAACAACAGTAAGCTATTATCTGACAGGGAGTAGGCCATTCTGGTTAAATATTCTGGTATATGAGCGCTCCAATAAATCCCCACATACAGTTAATGGAATACCAATCTGTCGAGAGTTAGAATGGAATAAAAAAAAATGTGCCTAATACTCTATTGATCTGGGTTGTCTCTGGGGATTTGTCCTCTCCTCCAAAGACTAGCTATGCAAATTAGACATGAATGGCAGACGGGAGGTCGGGTTGCTGAAGGCATTTGGAAGAGCTGAGGCGAGCCTTTTGAGCAGCTGTGTTTCTGTTTGGCAGTTACAGGGCTGTGGGCAGGGAAGCATGGTGAATGGGGCCAGGCCGCTCCCCCCACCCCCAGCCTGGAATCTGGTGTTGCTTCCCTTCAGCTGAGGCCAGGTCTCTTAGTGTGGCTCTGGGCTCCCAGCTTACCTGGGAGCTAAATCCAAGATCCCAGCTTGAAGCCCTCATTTCACCTGGCTGATCTCATAGCAAAGGTAGGATAGCTTTTAATTCGCTTGCTGAGGTCTCAACTCCCTGCCAGAGAGGCAAGGTCACAGGCAGATCTTATCCCAGGAAGAAGTGCTGAGCTCTGGGTTGGTATTCAGTCTCAGTCCTAGGGTGGCAATTGCTCTCAGTTTTTGTTGGCTGGAGGTTTACTTACGGTGTTGTGACCCCGCTCCCCACCCCGCAAGACACGCGTATATGTGAGCCAGCAAAGGCCTCGTGAGACCAGACACTGTGGCCTTCTGAGCCACACACAGGTCTGTGAACACACGGGGCACTTGTTTTCTAGAATGACCCGCCGGAGTGACCAGAAGACGTGGGACACCCTGTTTCCCTTCAAGGGACCAGCATGTTGGGAAGGGATTGGTGATTTGTGGTCCCCTCTCTTGACCATAATCGCAGGGCTTAGCTTCCTGCACCAGTCGGTCAGTTCCTGGAAAGCAAAGCCTGGCCCGGTTTCTCTCCACAGGCTCTGACGAGGTTGGAGTCCTGGTGGTATTCTACACGCCATAGCCTGGCCGGGCTGGTGGGCCTGGCTGGCCAGTCCTCTGCCGCCTTCCCCCAGACTGCCGGCGACGAGAAAGGGCTGGATCGTAAGCGCGTTGCCATTGTCTGGGCCCAGTGACTTCAGCTCTGATATCACAGAGGCCTCCCTACCATTTGGTGGAGGAGACTTGATGAAGCTCTTCTTAGTCCCCTGGCTGAAGTTTTCCATCTGGCCCTGACTTCCAGGACCCCAGAGGTCTTGCATCCCTAGCGTTTCTGCTGCACCTGAAGCCACCCCTCCCTCCAAGTTACCGAGTTATCCCAAGGCACTCATCAGTGCAGGTCCAATAACAGATGCAGATTTTGTTGTTGTTGTTGTTATTAGGTCTATGCTGTGTGTCAGGCCCTAATGCTGCAGAACTGGAAGCTGAACTGGGCTGTGAAAGGGTGTGCCTCGCGGGCTTTTGAAGACCGTGTGTGTGTGTGTGTGTGTGTGTGTGTGTGTGTGTGTGTGTGTGTGTGTATGTGTGTGTGTGTGTGTGTATCTGTCTGTCTGTCTGTCTGTCTGTCTGTCTGTCTGCTGACCTGTCTCATCACTGCTTTCAAGGAGGTTCAAGGTAGATACACGCCTTAGTAAGGGTGGCTGCCACACATCCGTACCGTGTTAGCTTTCTCATCGTTTTGACCGAATACCCGATGAGAACAGCTTAAGGAGGGCTTTACCCCGGCCCCCGTCGCACAGTTCATTGTGGCAGGAAAGTCATGACCTCGAGAGCTTCAGTTAATCTGGTCACTTGATGTTTTGCTCACTTTCTCCTTTTTATGTAGTCTGCCCTCACCCCCGGGGGGGGGTCATGCCAGCCACATTATGAGTGTCCTTCCCACTTTAATTAAACCGCTCTAGGAAATGCCTGGCAGTCGGCCCCTCCTCCCCCATGTGACTGGAGATCCTGTCAAGTTGAAGGTCATTATTAAGCACCTTGGATGGTTGCCAGGAAATACACAGGGACCAGCCCTTGCTTACCGCTTGCCTTCCGCCCCCAAGGTGGCTGGCCTTCTGAGTAACTGGGGTGCTCCCTAGTTGCTGAGTAAGACAGGCCTCGCCGCCGTGTGTAAGGCTAAGTGCTGGTTTTTCCTTCTTCCCTCGGCACGGGAGTACCTTGTACCAGAGATGCCTCAGGGCATGTGTGTCTCTCATTCCAAATTAATAAGTCCCTTCCTGGCCACCAGGTGCTGCTGGAGTCCTTAGGCCCCAAAGCCACTCCCTAGCCACGCCCCCTCCCAGGGAAGGCTGTCTGGAAGGCAGGTGAGGGCTGAACCCATCTGTCTACCCTCCTCCACGTGTCTCCCAGTGGGCTTGCCATCTCCGGCTGTACCAACGGAAGTGCCTGCTGGGCCGCTAACCAAATCAGAGGATCACAGAGAGCCCTGGTGGCCACGGGTTGTTCTCCCCGAGGCTGGGGTGAGCAGGGCTCTGCTGGTGGTTTCTTTTCTGAACCAAAGACTGGGCTCTGCCCCATGAAAAAGGCTGTCGGAGAGGAGCAGGCGCTCTGTCTGTAAGAGGAGGCTTGGCGGGGGGTGTTTGGATGTGGAGGGAGCGGCATTTTTGAGGCACTCTAATGGTGTATGTGGAAAGTTGGAACTGGGATAGTTCTGGAAGCCCCTCCGCAAACTGTCAGTATACACATGATTTAACAGACGCGGGTGCAGCTTGGCTGCAGTAATGCATGTTCAGTGCTGCCTCTAGGGCTGAAGCATGGGGTCCACCCTCCCTGCCTCTAAGACTTCTTAGTAACTCCCATTCCACATTGAACTTCAAGGCTCAGAGATGACAGTGACTTCCCAGGAGGCCCTGCAGCAGCGTGGTGGGGACTTGAACCCACGTCTGCCCCCTAGACTGACTTTTTTGCCTGAAATGCGAAAATCATCATTCATTTCACTTAAAGAGGCTTTTTTTTAAAGAAGCAACCTTACTTACATATCAATCCCCCCATCCCCTTGCCTTCCCATCCTCCCATGATCCCCACAGAGCCCTTAACCCACCCCCTAGGGATAGTGAGGTCCTCCACAGGGGGGGGCACCATCAAAGTCCTTCACATCATTTGGGGAAGAGCTCAGGCCCTTCCTTCCCTTATCTGGGCTGCAATAGTATCCCTCCATAGGGAATGGGCTCCCAAAGTCCATTTATGCTCTAGGGATAAACACTGGAGTTCCCGTAGACTGCCCAGGCTCCTAGCTGACACCCACATTCAGAGGGCTTGGCTCAGTCCAATGCTGGTTCCCCAGCCTTACCACCAGGGTCTCCGTGCTCTCACTAGGTCAGGTCAACTATTTCTGCGGGTTTCTCCAGCACAGTCTTGGCTCCATTGCTCATGCCTCCTCCCTCTCGACAACTGGATTCCAGGAGTATGGCTCAGTGTTTAGCTGTGGGTGCCTGTGTCTGCTTCCATCAGCCACTGGATGGAGGCTCTAGGAATGGTAACCAAGGTAGTCATCAGTCTCATCATAGGGCATCAAAGGCAGACTCTCCTTCACTGCCTAGCTTCTTAGTTGGGGTCATCCCTGTGGATCCCCTAATATTTCCCCAGTGCCAGACCTCTCTCCAAACCTATGCTGGCTCTCTCCATCAAGGCATCTCCTTTCTTGCCCTCCCCTATCCCTCCCCTACCTCAGTCCTCCTGTTCTCCTCCCCCCCTCCCCTTCTCCCCATCTCCCCATCCCACCTCCCTCCTCTCTCTCCCCCTGGCTCCCAATTTGCTCAGGGGTTCTTGTCCCCCCATCCCCCCTTCTTCGGGGGATCATGTGTTCTTCTCTTGGGGTCCTCCTTACAACAGCCTTTTCTTGAATGAGCTAATGAGCCACTGATGTCTGGGTCAGCGACAGTCCCCCCTCCCTTAGGTATGGGACTCTTGGGAGTCACCGCTGAGCTGCTGCTGTTTGCAGGCCACTCCCAAGTCAAGGCCACAGTTTCCCTTCCTTCCACTGAAGGAAGGCGGGAGACTCAGCTTCTGGAGGACAGGCCGGTGGCGTGCTGTGTTTATGAACCGAGATGGGCGTGGGCGTGGGGTGGAGCCCTGGCCTCTGTACCCACCTCCTTAGATGAGTCAGCTCTTGAGGGCCACGCCAGAGAGGCCCAGCTCCCTGGCAGCCAGCCCTTGCCCACTCTGGGAACACACAGCTTGACCCCCCCGCCCCATCCCCACCCCGCTTACCACTGCGTCCCCTCCCTGTGTCTGGCTGGCAGGTGAAGGCGCGCTCACTCGGCGGTTGTAGAGCATTGCAGAGTCGGGGGCATCACACGTCACCAGCTGTCCAGTCTCAGCTCTTCCGTGGCCCCGATGGCGCCTGGGCTTGAAGCTCCTCCGCCTCGTGGTCCTGCAGCCTGGGGCTGACAGGGCTAGCCAATGGCTTCCTGCCGCCCAGGCCAGCTCAGCCCAGCCCTGAGCTTCAGAGTGGAATGCACAGTCCGCCACAGCCTTACCTTGACGGCCCCGCATCCACACTGGCTGTTTCTGCGGTTGCTTAGTGTAGTATTTTGTAGGAGTACCTGCGTCCCCTTATGGGCTGGGAACTCAGCTGCCCAAGTCAGGCTAGATCTTTCCCTCCCTCCCTCATCCGAGCTTTGTTTTTAACTTCATTCTGACCTAACCAGACTTAAATAAAAGTCTCAGGAATGCCACGAAGAACTCCCATGTCCTCTCACTGAAATTCCCCAGCCCCCATTACCACTCTGACCCATTTATCATATCCTTCTGTGTGCATTGTTTCTTTTTCCTCAAACCATCTGGGGGCCAATGACAGGCTCGTCCCCCTAGTATAGTTATTTCCTGAAAGCGGCCACATCCTTTGGCATAACTGTAGTGTACCTTTTCTCCTACTCTTTAGTTAGAGTGCAGAAGTCACAGGCCTACAACCTTCCACACACTCGGATTTTGCTCACCTTAACCCCCCCCCTTCTGCTGCATAGTCTGTCCTGCGAGTTCATGTTTTCAGATGCGTTTGCACACACACGTTCATGCGTGTGTGTGTGTGTGTGTGTGTGTGTGTGTGTGTAGAAAGATTTATGTATGAGAAAAAAGGATATTTCATTGTACAGGTTTCTCCTTTTTGGTTTTGAGATGCGGTCTTATGGAGGCCCTGCTAACCTCAATTTTGTTTGTTTGTTTAGATTTATTTATTTATTTATTATGAATACAACATCCTGCCTCCATGTCTGTCTGCAGGCCAGAAGAGGACACCAGATCTCATTACAGATGGTTGTGAGCCACCATGTGGGTGCTGGGAATTGAACTCAGGACCTCTGGAAGAGCAATCAGTGCTCTTAACCTCTGAGCCATCTCTCCAGACCCTTGTTTGGTTTTTTATTTTTTATTTGTTTGTTTTTGTTTTTGTTTTTGACACAGGGGCAGCCCTGACTGTCCAGGAACTCGCTCTGCAGACCAGGCCGGCCTCAAGCTCACAGAGATCCACCTGGCTCTGCCTCCCGAGCGCTGGAGGTGTGCACCACCACTGCCCGGCCGGCCTCAGTTTTTCTGTGCAGCTGAGGATTTCGGGTGTGAGCCGGGGCGTCCAGTCTCTGTACCGTCAGAGCCCAGAGCCTCTTGCTTGCTAGACGAGCATTCTACGCTGGGCGTGTCACCCCCACTCCTCTCCTCCACCCCTGTACCTTTCAGACCCAACAAAATTAATAGTTACGGTGCCGCTGCCTTGTCTGTAAGCCTTAGGTCTTGTCCTTTGCCTCACTGATGTCTTTCACAGTATGCTCAGTGCGTGGTATGCCCCAGGTGCTGTGTCTCTGTTAGGGTGATTTAAGGGAGAGCAGTTCTCCAGCGTAACCTGTGACCTTGGCATTTTTGCCATGCACTCGTCAGTCCTTCAACTTTTGGGCCTTTCTGTGTGACTCACTGTTGTGTCCCTAAAGTCAGCCGCGGTGCACGGACAGCCCGGGGTCCTTAGTAAACGCTTGATGAGTGTGGAGGGGAGTCACACGTTGGAAAGTGAAGCAGGTTTCCCGGCTCTCTGCATTCATTCCCAGCCCTCGCCGTTGCTGAGGCCTGTCGGTGTTGTTCGTTGTAACGTCGCTATAAATAAGTTTCAGTGCTGCTATTTTTATCACAGCCCTACACCCCAAAAAGGTGGCCCAGGCAACCTCAGTAAAGGATTGGCAGGTATCCTGGAGAGGCCAGTAGAATACCTGATGAGGAAGGAGGCTCACTCTTGAGGTTCCCCCACCTCAAGAACAGCATTCTCCGGCTGCGCCTTTGACGTCTTCTGAATTTGGGGCTTGAGATATCACCCCAAACAAGAACGTTTTCAGAGTGACAGGTTGTGTTGTTAATAACTGATCAGCAGGCCTTGGCCAGGGACTGCTCTGGGTACATTAAGTGTATGTGTTCCAAGTTAATCAGTTGTGACTGTGAGGCTGCGATGAGACTAGCCTAACAACACCCCCTCCGCGCCTGCGTGCGCGCACACACACACGCAGGCACGCACGCTCGATCGCTAGAAATCCTCCATCTTAATGAAGACGAAAAACCACTGATAATTCTTGGTAGTGCTTAGGGGCTCTGCGTGTCCCCTGCTTCGGTCCCACACCCCTGTGATCACCCTCTTCCTGGATGTGCCCCTCCCAAACCGTTCCTACCCCGGTCTCTTTACAGCCCTCACTTTGCTCTCTCTCTTGCTTGGAACCTCTCACGGCAGACTCAGATCGGATGGAGGGGCAGGGCAGGTTTGCGACCTTAAAGCGCCAGGCCTGCTGCCCCCACCCCACCCACACCGAGCAAATTCCAGTGGAATCCCAAGGCCAGACGCGTGAACACGTGAGCCAGGCAGAGCAGGAGGCCCGCAGTCTCACCAGATCAGGGTTTCCTCCCCTAACCACGCACGGTTAACGCAATCCCTCCAGCTTCCGTTCCGTGACCAGGTCCTGGGCAGAGGCCCGCAAACAGGTGGCATTGGGGACCTGGTCACAAGCAGCTGACTGTCCCATGCCCGGTAGGTGCAGACAGGTTTGGATGCCGAGAAACCAGGCAGGGAGCCAGCCTAGAAAGATCCCAGCGACAGTGTCAGTCCAGGGCCGTTTATCAGGAAGCCTAGGTTCCCAGTGTCAAATGCGCACCGGGCAGGGCAGGCTCCGGTGTCCATGCAGACAGCCCTCCCCGCCCCTTGTTCGCATTCACCAACCAGAACGCGTGGGTTCGGGAGTATCGTGGGATGGACATGTGAAAAGCTAGCCAGGTGGGCTTCAAGAACACGCACCATCTAGGGAAGCACGATTGGACCCCAAGATGAAAGAGTTCCAGAAGAGGGCTGGGCCAGTGACTCACTGGCAGAAAAATTGCTGGGCGCGTTCGAGGCCGTGGGTTCAACACCTCGGGACTACAGAAACGTTAACCAAAACAAAACTTCTACATAAGTAAAAAAATAAAAAATGTCTCTTTCCCAGGCTCAGGTAGGCAAAAGCATTTAGCTTTGAGTCTCCTTTTACAGGACAAAAATGTCACGGTGTCAGAACGTCGGGGGACCTTAAGGCAACCTTACCTTGTTCCCTTCTCATATAGATGGGGGTCCTAATGGGACTTGGCGTTCTCGCGGGCATTCGGGCACATAGCAGAGACCGGGACCCACCTCTCAGAGTTCCCAGCCCCCAGGTCTTGGGTGTGTTTTTTTTAGCTTCGTGCCAATGAGGCATGTCAGATGGACTGTATGTTTTTATTATTTGTTAATGGCCTTTGGCATCTCTCTTACTCGGCAAGTTAAGTTTGCTGTTGCCTTTGGAGCAGTTAGACATTTCTTGTTCTTTTATATAGACGCTATTAGGCTGGTGGGATTTCTTTTTCATTTTCATATATATCTATATCTCTATCTATATATATACATATATCATATATATAGTCGGTGGTTGTGTTTCTCACATTCAGAACATCGGAATCTCCTGGAGGACCTGGTACAACTCGGCTCCTGGGCCATATTCTCCAAGTTCTGTTGGTCTGACTCAGATCTGTGGTGGGCCGGATGAGTTTTTTTTCATTGCTGCTGGCTTTATGGAAGTCACCGAGTCAGAGACTGCCCTCCAAGGAGCCGTGCTAGGGTAGGAGACGGTTGAAGATGCTAGCCCAGGCCTTGCAGCCGGCTGGCTCCCCGGTGTGGTCCCTCTTTGCTCAGAAATCTGCGCCCCGGCCTTGACCTCCGCATTCTCCCCAAGATTCACTTCTCCAGGTCACCCACACCACCTCCGCCTCTGGCCCTGCCACGCTGGAGGCATTTGGAGGGACATCCTCACCTTCCCTGCTCGTCTCCATCTTCCGGCTCTTGCTTTCTGTCCTGCAAAGTCAGAGAAAAATGAACGCCTCTGCTGTGGACTCTTTGCAACCCATCACCCCCTGGAGGAGGAAAGGCCCTGCCCCCTTCCCGCTAGGTCTCTGCCCAACTTCTCCCTTTACCACCAAGCATCCTGGAGAGACAGTCAGCAGAAACTGGGAAAGAGTGGTCCTCATCTCTCATGCACAGACTTAACCATTCAACTCCAGTTCAGATTTGTTTGTTTGCCCCTATAATGAGGGAAAGGCCTCATTTAAAAAAAAAGGTGGTGAAAATAGTAGAGGTTAGAATTTTCCATTTGGCCGTGTTTGAGTGTGCAGGCTAGGGGCACTAAATGGTTTTAAATGCATTTGCACCATTTTGCAGTGGTCACTGCCATCCACAGAACTTCACAGCTCACACTTGGGAACAGACTCCCATTGAGTGACAGCTTCCTTAAACAGCGCCTGTCTCTCTCTGCGGCTCCCAAAACGGATCTCTGTGAGTTCAAGGCCAGCCTGGTCTACAAGAACTAGTTCCAGGACAGCTAGGGCTACAGAGTGAGGTCTCAAAAATCTCAAAATCAAAACAAAAAGCAAAATCCAGCTTCACCCGTGTTTGTAGCATACGTTGGTATCTCCTTTAAAATACCGAATACTACTCTTTTTGTGTGTTTTGTCCATTGATGGGCAAGTGGGTCGCTCTGCCTTTTGACTTTGATACCAGTGGAGGCCCTGGAGTGCTGGCAGCGGCGGCGGTGGCAGGTCTTCGATTAACTTGCATTCTCAGGTGACTATTTAGGCATTTATGTAGCGGCCACACCCTGCCATTTAACCGATGCTGCGGTTGCTGTGATGGCCGTGGACTGTTCTCTTGTGAAAACCAGGGCCTGCTTATGTGAGCCTGTTTCTACTGTGAGTGGAGGCGAAGTGGGAGACACTCTCTATGATAGGACCTCTTCATCGCTGGTCTCCTTCTTGCCCTGCCCCCGCCCCACCCTGCTCCGCCCCATCCCGCCCCATCCCCGCCTCACCCCACCCCGCCCCAGTCTGCTTGGCTCCCCCCACTGCTTCAGGTTCTTCTCTCCCTGTCCTGGGGGCCCTTCCTGTGTTAGCTCTCAGGTGTGAACCTCTGACTTGGTCAGCACTGGACATTTCTGGTCTACATGTGTGTGTCACCACGGGAGCATCTCCGTGTGTGTGTGTGTGTGTGTGTGTGTGTGTGTGTGTGTGTGTGTGTGTGTGTGTCCGTCTCCAAGTCTCCAAGTCCTTCTCCGGCATGTTGGTTCAAAACCAGCCTGGTCTGTATGGTAAGTCCCAAGCCAGGAAGGACCTCATAGTGAGATCACGTCTCCAATAAATAAATAAACATTTTTTTTAAAAAAGCAAAGAAAGAAAAAGAAAAAAAAGTCCTCCAGTGGCTAAGAACTTTAAAGGAGGAACCCTTCCCTGGTCCCCGTAGCTGCCCCGGACAGACCTTATCTGTCACACCTCACAGGTCTTTCTCCACACAACCCTTCGCCCACCCCTTTCTCCAACCAGCTTCCCCCCAACACTCTGTCAGTGTTCCTGCCTTCTTTTTTGGTTTTTCAAGACAGGGATTCTCTGTATTGTTTTGGAGGCTGTCCTGGAACTCACTCTGTAGACCAGGTAGACTCCGGGGTGGGCCTGTTTCTGAAGGCATTGCAGGCTCACTTTCAGGCTATTAGTTCGCAAGAGTTCTTTATGCGTGCGTGCGTGCGTGCGTGCATACGTGGGTGTGTGTGTGCATGTGTGTATGCATGCGACTCGCGCCCGTGTAGGGGTTTGTGCCTGTGTGTTTGTATGTGCGTGCACAAGCGTGCATGCGGAGGCCTGAAGTTGATGTCAGGTGTCTTCCTCAATCACTGACCACTTTAGTTATTATAGAGGTAGGGTCTCACTGAACCCTGACGTGACCACTTACTTAGGGCTAGCCTGGTGTGGTGGTCTGAGGGAGAACGGCCTGCATAGGCCCCTAGATTTGAATGGTAGGTCCCCAGTTAGTGGGAATGCTTCTTGGGAGGGATTCAGAGGTGTGGCCTTGTTGCAGGAGGTGTGTCGTGGGGGTTAGGTTTTGAGGCTCCAAAAGGCTCCAAAAGGCTCCTATGACTTCCAGTGATCTCTCTCTTTACCTGTGGCTGTGGATCAAGGTGTGGAACTCTCAGCTGCGTTCTGTCCCACATCATGGACTCTAGCCCTCTGAAGTCATAAGCCACATTAAATGCTTCCTTTTAGAAGTGGCCTTGGGCCGGGCGTTGGTGGCGCACGCCTTTAGTCCCAGCACTCAGGAGGCAGAGGCAGGCAGATCTCTGTGAGTTTGAGACCAGCCTGGACTACCAAGCGAGTTCCAGGACAGCCTCCAAAGCCACAGAGAAACCCTGTCTCAAAAAACCAAAAAAAAAAAAAAAAAAAAAAAAAAAAAAGAAGTGGCCTTGGTTGTGGTGTTTTATCACAGCCGTGGAAGCCGGCTGAGGATCCCTGTCTCTGCTTCCTGAGCGCTGGGGTTACACGCAGCGGCTATGTCTGTGAGCTCTTTCTGTGAGTTTAGGGATCCAAACTCCAATCCGCATACTCACAGGACTGGCGCTTTAACCTCTGAGCCCCTGCAAGGATCCTTAAGTTTTGTGTTGTAATTTCAACCTCTTCCATCTTACAGAAAGTTGATCTTAAATGGCTGAAATCAGGAAGGCGGATTCTTTGCCGCTGGTGACATGAAAAGAAATTCTAAAAGACATTTTTTTTTCATAGCCATAGGCCACAGGTATGGAAGGTCTGTGTGTTGAGCTTCTCTGAAAGGGGGTCTCTCGGTGGGGTTCCTGGGCAGGAGCACCCCTCTTACTCAGCTCTACCTCCAGGGCCCAGCATGTCAGGGAGATGGGCTTCTAAGGCTGTTTGTTGGTGGGAGTAGCAGAAGTGTCCCAGGGCCTCCTTGGAGGAGATGAGAGTAGGAACAAGATTCCAGGTGGGAAGACCGCTTGGCAGGGGTGCCATTCTGGGAAGATGCTGCCAGTCAACAGAAGAGAGACACAGGTCTGACACTGGGTCTTTTGAGGGGCCCGTCAGACCTGTCTTTTGAGCTTCACGAGTTTTCAATTGAGAAAAAATGAGCTGCAGGGATTCAGATGTCCTGGCAGATTCTGGGGTGGGTGTGGGGGTGTTCTGGAGGACCGAGGGTTATGGGGGGGCTGGGCTGGCAGCAGATGGGGCTCTACACACCTGGGAGTCAGACAGCATTTGGGCCTTTCCACGGGGGTGGGGAGGATGAGGGGTTCAAGCTCCAAGTAGGGGCCTTGGAATTGTTAGGTGAGGAAATGAGATGCATGGCGGGGGGGGGGGTGACTCCCCAAACTTCGTTGCCTCCCCGACCCCCCCTCCCTGCTGCCCTCTGGCCTCCTCTGCTTGCCTGGCCAGCAACCCTCTCCTCTCCTAAGTCCCAGCCAGGTGACTGTTGCCCACTGAAACGCCCGTGCCTTTTCTCAGTGCCAAGCTGCCACTCAGCGGAGCAGACTGTGCTCAGGTGCTATGCTCATCAGGCAGGTGTGAGCCTGGGCTGGCGGACTCCACCCACACCTCCTATGACCCCGTTGTCGTCGCCGGAGCCCCTAATGGCTGTTTACCTGAGGGATGATGGTGACACTCCGTCGTCTCCAGGAGGTCACATGAAGGTCCCCGACGGCACAGCTGCACACAGTGATTACTCCGGCACTGCCCCTGTCAGTCTCTGCTCCTTGTGCGATAGGGATCTCTGGTTTGAGCCGGCAGCCTCAGGGATGGAGAAGACTGCAGTTGGTGCCTGCTGCCTGAACTGTGGGGACTCAGCTCCTTGCGGGGATGGCGAGGGCAGCTGGCAACAGACAGGAAGGAGCCAAAGACCTAGGGAACTGGCATCGAGGTCACGGCAAAGCCTCCTCAGCTTCAGTGAGATCGCGGCGTGCATTTGCCAGGCCCAGAGTGGCCTTCATTTCTAATAGGAGCCTTCTGATTCTGGACCGTTGGTTCGAGACCACACCTACTTAGCGGCTTAGAACTTGCCTTCTGGAAGTGGGGCTTTAGAGCATATGGTACTAAACACTAGTATACCTTGGATTTTCCTGACTGCCCGTACCTAGGTGTACTAACTTGCGGGTTACCCACGGGAAGAGATTAAGAACTGAAAATAAAATAGAAAACTCGACAGTGCTTTAATGAAAAGATATGTGGCTGGCTATGGTGGTGGCGGTGGCTGCGGCGCACGCCTTTAACCCCATGGGCAGGTAGAGATCTATGAATTCAAGGCCAGCCTGGGCCACGCGGTGAGATGCTGCCTAAAAACAAATAAAATAAAATATGTAAGGATCGGGGAGCGGGTAGTTCAGTTGGTAGTGAGCTGGCATGTCCAAAGCCCGGGATTCCATTGCTAAGAATCCAGCATAAACCCAGGACACAGGCCTGTGATGCCAGCACCGAGGAGTGTGGAGGTCGGGAGACTAGGCTAGCCAGTTTGAGGCTAGCCTGGGCTACACGAGAGCCTGTCCTAAGAAAAACACCGGAGAGTTATATGAAACTTACTGCCTTGAGGACTGAAAGCATGTAGCTTGGTAGCAGCCCTGGGGTGCCGGGCGTGCCTGCGGTTGCCGCCCAACAACGAGCCCGCCAAAACAACCCTTGTGAGTTGTCTACTCCCAGAACTTTCCATTTTGTGTTTTCGGCGCTCATTAGTTCTAGGTTAACTGAAACTGTGGAAAGCCACGTTCATCCCTGCTGAACTATCAGCCCCGACACTCCGATCCTTAGTGGGGACAGGTGGACCTGGATCCCGGGCCACGGCGGGGTTCGTCGGGAGCGCCCCCAGAGCCCTTGAGATTGCGCGGGGCGCCTTGATGGTTGACGCGCATGCCTCAGGGTGGCCTCACAGTTAGATTTCCCACAGAAGGCGCTGTTTTCCGTCCCCCTGAGCTGTGGCCATCTCAGTACTCACCACGCTGAAGGCGGCGATTCCCAGAGACTGCCTGGTCCACGCTTCCCTAAGCACCTGCTGCACCCCACCATTTAGGCCCGAGGAGGACCTCGCGGATGCCCGAGGCCTTGCAGAGCAGGGCACAAGCAGAGCTCAGGAGGGGCGGATGTGTCTGTCCAGTGCTGAGACCAGCAGGCTTCTTGAGAACCCAGGGCTGAGCCGGGAAGAAGCTGGGGGTCTGGAGTCAGCAGGCCCTCTCCCGTGAAAGCACCAGCTGGGCTGTGAATTGTCTGGGGGCCGGGGGAAGGGGAGGGTAGCAGGGAGGCAGCCACAGGGAGTGTGGGAGCCCAGAGCATACTTCTCTGCGGCTTAGAAGATAGGCCCTCGGCCTGGGATCGGGTCTCCTAAGCAAGGCCTTGGGATGCTGCCCCCCCCCGCCGCTCTTCCCCCAGCCTGTGTGAGCAGTGTTTGGTATCAGCACCACCCAGAGAACCAGGGCCGAGCACTCCTGTTCCTGAGGAGGAATGGGTTGCTGCTAGGTCCCAGCACCGGCTACAGGCATAGGGCCTTTGCGGGAGGTCTGGAACCCAGCTAAACAGGACTGTGGGGGCGGGACCTAGGGCCAGGGCCACTCCTGGAAGAGGAAGCTGGCCAGGCAGGCTTGCAAAATGGAAGGAAGGTGGGAGGAGGCAGCAGCCGGTGGAGGAGGAAGGATTAAGGTCTTAATCCCTGGGCACCCATAAAGCCTCAGGTGACAGCTTTTCTTTCAAAGCTCTATCTACTTGATTTTCTTTAAATTCACCGTAGCTCCTTGTAGAAAACTACACCACAGATGCGGCCTTAAAAGAAAAGAAAACCCTAATACTTTCGTTGTTTGTTCATTTTATAAAATTTCTTTTTCTGTTTTGGGCTGTCATTTCGAGACAGGCTCTCCTGTAGCCCAGGATAACCCCACAGTCACTGTTGGCAACAGGTGACCGTGAACTCCCAGCCCTTGTGCCTGTCTAGTTCCTGACGCGCTGGGATCACAGACGCGCACCCTAGCCGCCACCGCCACCCTTATGCCTGGCTCATGTTGTGGAATTGTCCACGGCTCCCTTGCAGCTGTTTGAGTTTGGGGGCCACTCTCACACGTGGTCCGCAGAAGTTGGCAGTTGGCCTTTTCGTTTTTTTTGTTTGTTTTTTGTTTTTAACTTTCAGTGTGGTGGATGTGGCCGCTGCCGGGAGGAAGAATTTTGCAGCTACCACATTGCTTCCCAGGTCTGCGCGTTCCCTGGCTGTAGGGTTCTCTGGGAATCGTTTCCCGCGTTAACCACCTGCATGTGTGAAGCCTGACCAGCCCTTCGCACAGTGTGGGCACAAGCCCCGCCCTCCCGCCCGTGGGTGAGCCGGCCACTTAACTCATTCGCACGTGCATCTCACAACCCTCTATTACGGGCGGAGATTCCGTCTCCTGTGGCTAAGCATCCGAGCTCGGCTGGCAGGTGTAGGGGTTGTGGGATCACGTGTGATGTTCTGCCCTCCCCGTCCGTCCTTGTCACAACTCAGGGGGGTTCCCAGACAGCCTGCAGGTCCAAAAGTAAGTGTGGGCGCCTCTGTGGCCACCCCCTTGTGGGTATGGAACTGTTTGGGTAACCTCTTGTGGTTCGTGGAGTCACACAGACTTGAGTATGCTGTCTTCCCTTTCATCCACTTGGGGTTTTTTTTTTTGGGTGGGTGGGGTGAGTGGGTGGGTGGGTTTCGAGACAGGGTTTCTCTGTATTGTTTTGGAGGCTGTCCTGGAACTCGCTCTTGTAGACCAGGCTGGCCCCAAACTCACAGAGATCCGCCTGTCTCTGCCTCCCGAGTGCTGCTGGGATTCTAGGCCTGCGACACCACTGCCTGGCCTCATCCACTTGCTTGTCCTATGGAGGAAAATAAAGCAGGATTCTGGGCGAAAGTAGTGACACGGAAGATGATATTGATAGGGTGAAATCTGAGCAGGCACGAGAGGGAGTGGGGAGAGACAGGTGAATATCCAAAGAAGGGTTTTGCCAGGAGAGGGAACAGGAAGCTTGGTGCAAGCTGGACCCGTCGGGGTTGGGGGGGCTGCGTCTAGGCAGAGCGAGCGTGCTGGAGGTGGGCGCAAGTGGCCACAGCCAGATCATGCAAGGCCCTTGGATAGCTAAGGGAGACCCGGAAGCCGGGGTTCCCACCCGCCCCCGCCCCTAGGAGCGAGTCAGAACAATGGCATGGATCCTCTTGCATATCTGCGTGGGTGAACACCTGGGCCCAGGCTACGTTTGCCCCCGGATGAGGTCCTGAGAGTTGCAGCCCAGGCTGTGGGAAGGTTTCCCCTTTCCTCTGCCCTTAAGTCCCTCATCCACGTGACGTGGACCCAAGAAGACAGGAAGCTGGTAAGAGTGTGCTGGGCTTCCCAAGGCTGGGACCTCCATCCTGTCACTACTTAGGGGTGTTTGTTATTTAGGCTAGCCAGTGGGCGCGCGTAAACACTTGCTCGTACATATTTAGTCTTTAATCTGTTTGGACGATCAGGCTCAACTTCCTCGGCCCAGAAAGCAGCCAGCTGCCTGCCTGCAGTGGGTGGTCGCGTAGCAGTCGGGGACATCAGGAGGAGGAGAGATGGTTTTTCTGCTCACAGTGGCTTACCGGGAGTAAACTATTGATTGGGTGCCGGGGGCAGGGGGCAGGGCTGGTTGCCTGAGCCATGGGGGCTGACCTTTTACAAACTGTCATCAGCCTTCACGTGTTGACTCTGCTTCATAACCTAACTTCAAAAACAAACAAAAACAAAACTCAAAATAGGTTTGTCTGAAGTGTAAAAGCTAAAGCCCCAAAACCTGTTAGAGAAAGCCGTGGAGGTCAGACTTCAGTGCTTTTGGATTTAGCAGTGGGTTCTTGGCATGCGGAACCAGAAGCCCAAACCACAAAGGGAAAAGTCGTACGTCGAGCCCCATCATAACTCAAGTTTTGGTTGCAGCACTTAAGTAGCCTGTAAAATAGAGTGTGTTTCAGACCCCCAAGCCCGTGAAACTTTATTATTAGGAACTTTTCCCTAAAACTACGGGCCGAGGGAGACGGCTCAGTGGTCAAGAGAGCATGCTGCTCTTCTAGAGGAGCCCGAGTTCTGTTCACGGTGCCCACATTACGGGCAGCTGGTCACAGCCTGTGACTCCGGCTCCTGTGGCTTCCATGCCCTCATTGGTTTCTGTGGGCGCTGCAGCCGTAAGCACAAGCTTGCCCATGACAGGCACATATGCTTAAAAGCAAACCCTTAAAAAGTGTACTGAAAGTTCACCAGCCCCGATCTCGACAAGTTCATGGCAAATAAAGGGCGGAGGACTTGAACAGACGTCTTCTCTCTTAGAGATGGATGGCCAGTAAGCATTCATGGATGGGCACACGCGCTGTCAGTGATTAGTAATCCAAGCCATGGAATGCCTCTGTGTGCCTAGAAGAACGTTCCTAACTAGAAGACAGGGTAGGGGAGGCGCCCAAGTGTTTAGCAGCGATGTGGGGAGATTGGAAACACGTTGCCTGTGAAAACATGAAGTGAGTTGGCCTCTGTAGGAACGTTCCACCGGCCTTGTGTCTCGGTTAGGGCTACCACTGCTGGGATGAAACATCACTGCCAAAAGCAACTTGGGGAGGGAAAGGTTTATTCGGCTTACACGTCCTCGTTGTAGTCCATCATTGAAGGAAGCCAGGACAGGATGCAGAGGCCACGGAGGGATGCCGCTTGCTGGCGTGCTCAGCCTGCTTTGTTATAGAACCTAGGACCACAATGGGCTGGCCCCTCTCCCATCAGTCACTAATTAAGAAAATTCCCTACAGGCTTGCCTGTAGCCCAAGTCTTAGGGAGGCATTTTGTTAATTGAGGGTCCCTCCTCTCTGATGACTCCAGCTTGGTGTCAAGTTGACACAAAACTATCAACACATCTTGAGGAAAAAGTAGGTATGGAATTCCCATATGACCTGGCAGTCTGTCCCTGGGCGCTGAACAGAACACGAGCATCCAAACAAAACATACTTGTGGTTGTTTTGAGACCTGAGTTTCTCCGAGTGGCTGCTGCCGCCCTGGAATTCACTCCGTAGACAAGGTTGGCCTTGAACCCAGAGACCCACCTGCCTCTGCCAACCTAGTGCTGGCATTAAAGGCGTGCGCCGCCACCATGCCCAGTTGCAAATGGATTCCTTCACACTGAAGTTGATTACATTACTAGGCACAGCTGGCGCAAGGTGAAAAAAAATAACCCGAATGAGTGAATGCCTGCGGGAAAATGCGTCGAGCTAAAGAAACTGAATGTTAGGCAGTCGTGGAAAGGGAAAAAAAAGTTGTGACACGCACTAAAACGTAGGACTTAGAGAACATGCTGAAGAACAGTAAGGCAGACTCGAAAGGAGATGCTTCATGGTTCCGCTTTGTCCTCATTAGGGTCCCCCCCACTTGACGTAAGGTGAAGTCAAACGGAGGAGACTCTGTAGTTGAGAGAATACCTCCAATCAGATTGGCCTGCAAGCAAGTCCATGGGGGGGGGCATCTTCTTGACTGCTGATTGATGGAGGAGGGCCCAGCCTGATTTGGGAGATAGATACCACCACCCCCGGGCAGGTGTTCCTGGGCGTGTAAAAGTGGGTTGAGCGAGATCTGAAGAACAAGGCAGTAAACAGGGCATTCCTCGGCGGCCTCTGCTTCAGATCCTGACTTGGCTCCTCTTGGGTCGCCTGTACTGTAACCCATAACCTAATACATGCTTTCTTTCCTCCCCAAGTTGATTTCGGTCTCTTTTTTTTTTTTATCACAACCATAGAAAGCAAACTAGGACACACTTACATGAAAGGTCAGAAATAAGTAGATCCTCAGGCAGAGGTTGCTTGGAGTTGGGTAGGCACCTATTGCCTAACGAGTGCAGAGTTTCTGTTTGGAGTGATGGGATTTCCTGGGAACAGATAGAGGTGATGGTTGCACAACATTGCATATGAGTATAATTACTGTCACGGAACTGTATTTAGAAGTGGTTAAAATAGCCAACTCTAGACCCTGCATAGTTTCAAGAGTACGGTTAGTGTTAACATTCCGTGCCTGGGGAAAGCTTGGTTCTGTGAGAGGCCCCTGGGATGGACCGTTACCAGACTTGAGGACACCTCAGACACACAGGATTACCTTAAGGGCTGAGCCCAGTTCATGCTTCTGATGCAGATTTGCAACACCGTGCTGTGTCTCACTGGCCTCGAGAGGCATTTGGGGTGGCTCCCCACCTCCCTGTGTCCACCTAGTTCAGTGCAAAGATTGCTCTGCCTGGTGGGAAAAAAAAACAGACAGAAAACAGTAAACGTGGGTGATTTTTTTTTCCCCCAGATTGTCTTCAGTAACCTGTTTATTTGGTCTTGCTGGCTGTTTTTGCCTGAGTGTTTGGTCTA